CGGTCAGTTTACAGCGGGGCGGGGCGGCTCCCAGACGGCCAGCTCCCGGCTCCGCCCCGTGCGGAACCGGCCGTAATGCCCGGCCCCGGGACACCCAGGTGGAACCCCATTTCCGCGGCCGGGGTGGGGGGATTTCTAAATCTCTAGTGAGGGCCTCCTTGGCCCTCTTTGCAGCCATCCCTTTGGGCAGGAGCAGGGCGCACTTGCTGGGGCAAACCTGGACTTCAGGAGGGAGGGCAGGTACTGTGGCGTTTGGAGATGGTCAACGCTTCCTCCCAAAGCCAGCGGGTCAGTCGCCCCGAGGTGGAGCGGAACGCAAGCGGGACACTGCAAGACGATGCCTATGGTGGTGGCTGGAGGACACCTGGGTCGTGGAGGCGTGCGCAGGCAGCACGTTTGATTCCACAACTTTTTCCCCTTTTCAGAGATTCGACAATACTACTGTTCATTTTTTTCTGAAACTCTGTTCCCTGGCGCCTTCCATGAGGCCCAACTCACACTCTTTCATTGCAACTCACCGCTGGCTCTCCAGCGGGTTCCTGAGACTGTAATCTCACGCGAGGAGATGGACCATCTTTCTCCCACGGAACCTCTGTTGAATTCAAGAGGGGCTCAGCCTTTGACATCAAAAGCAGATGCTCAAATTTTCACCGGATCCTTTGCCTCTGTGCTGCATCTGAAATTGCCAGCTAGCCCTGGGAAGGGGTTCCCCGGGCGGGCCATGCACGTGATCAGATAGGCGCAGGCAGAGCCATGACCAATGGGTTAAGACTGGAGTGGTTTCCAAAATCTCTGTAGATGTTCATTGAAATGAAAAATAAACAACCTAAATTTAAAAAAAAAAATAGAGTTAACAGTAAAACAACTAATGCTTTGTATGCACTGAGGCAGGTACTGCTCCAAATACTTGTTGTTAGGTGCTGTCAAATGGAGAATGACTCAGAGCGACGAAAGATCTGAATCCTGCCCTATCCTGTTCTGTCCTCACCATCTCTTCACCAATATTAATGGATTCACTGCTCTTGGAAACCCTTATTTCCAATACCCATATCAAGAAACTGAGACATAGAGGGGTTAGCTCACCTGAGGAAGTGACAGAGCTGGGATGCCTTATCCAAAACTTTAAAATGTCTCTGCTGAAATAAACAAAAACAGGTTGGCATAGAGAGCAGAGTGACCTGACCTTTGCACGTCTAGAACCAGTTTGAGGGATGACTGGGAGGGCTAGGAAAGGGACAGACGGTCCTAACTGCCTAACTTGAAGATCTTAACCTTTATTTGTGGTCTCTAACCTAGGCCCCAAAGCACCAAGGTGGTGCCTGTGCCAGTCCTGTAGAGTGGTATGCTTGGGCTGGAGCTGAAGCCGTGCAGAGGAAGCTGCAAATTTCACTGAAGGCCAACATTCGTCAATTGCATGCATTTATCATTCTCACCCATTGTGTTTCCATGTTTGTTCTGACCTAAAAACCATGCTTATCCCGAAACATTTCTGTGTGAAATTGATGCTGCAGGATGGAGCTCTGGGAGTACAGTCCATACAGAGTATTGAGCTGGTAACTAAAAGACTTAAAATTTATGATGATTGGAATCCATCCAGGTTTTCTGCGGAAAGGTGGGCAGTCCCTGTTAAAGTCACAGTTTCAGGAGCCCAGTGGAGTTAGAATTGACGCAAAGGCAGTGAATTTTTAGTTGATGCTGCAGAAGCTGCCCCTGGGGAACTCTGGTGGCCTAGTGGTAAGAAGCTTCACTGCAGTCCCACAGGCATGCAGTTTGAATCCTCCAGCTGCTTCACAGGAGAAGGATGCACATTCGCCTCCCATGCGATTCGCTGCCTCTGAAAAGCTGCTGGAGGGAAGCTTCTGTTCTTACTTGAAGGCTCACACCACCACCACCAGTAGAAGCTGCCCCAGGTTTGTCTTGGGATCACTTGCCCTGTCACTCTGGGAAGGCAGCATTAGGGCTACTCTTGTCCCCACTCTAGAGATGGTGATTTTAATTCATGAGAAGGTCGTGGAAAAGTGGTGTGTGCCAAATGGTGATTTTGAAGGATTTGTCTGGCAGGGATATAAAATACAGACTAGATGGAAGGAGAGTTGAATCCCAGAAATGGGATAAATATCACAGTAAGTACAATAACAACTTGTTTTTATCAGGCATCTTTTCTAAGTTTAAGCCATGTGGTAACTGACAGTTTGTGCCTCACCTTCCCATCCCCACAGAGCATCATTCACACTTGAGGTGCCCTACGCCTTAGGCTGGGTTCTCTGGAGAAATAAAGCCCCTGGGGTGGGTGGGTGTAAGCCTGGTGGTACACTGTGTTATGTCCTACTGTTAACTAGAAGGTCAGTGGTTCAAATCCATTGTTGTTATGTCTCCTCAAGACAACTGCAACTCATAGTAACCCTATACACAATAGCTCTGAACCTGCTCTATCCTGAGCCAGTCTCACTGTCTTCGACACACCTACCCTAGTTACTCCAGTTATTGTGTCAATCCATCTAATCTGGGATCTTCCTCTCCTGCACTGTCCCTCCACCCTTCCAAGTATGATATCCTTCTCTAGAGACTGGTCCCTCCTGGCGACATGGCCAAAGTATGTGAGACAGAGTCTCAAAATCCTTGCCTCCAAAGAGAAGTTTGTCTCATCCTCTGCTGGACAAACCTGTTTGTTCTAGCACTCCATGGCATATTCAGTACTCTTTATCCAGCATCACAACTCAAAGGCATCAATTCTTCTGTCATCCTCGGTCATTCATTATCCAGCTCTCTGATGCATAGCAAGTAATGGCAAAGACCATAGCCTGGATCAGGTACACCTTAGTTTCTAGACTGGCATCCTTGCTCTTCAGCCACTTGCCAAGGAAAAAAGACAGGCGGTTTCTTCCCATAAAGATTTATAGTGTCAGAAATCTAATGGAGAATCACGATGCGTCAGAATCAACTCAATGTCAATATATGTTTTCATATAGTGAGAAAGACTGATTTATCATAAAGAGATGGCTCATGTGGTTGTGTTGTTGTTATGTACCATGTTTCAGAACCAACTCATAGCTGACCCTCCAGTGGGTCCTCAGAGGCTGTAAATTACACCAGAAGATATTTCCCATCTTTCTCTTCTGCTATAGCTGGTGGATTTGAACCATGCTTCTTTGTATTGGTAGTAAGACTCCTTACCACTAAGGAATCAGAGATTCCCTCATGTAGTTGTAGAAGCTGGCAAATTCTCTATGGGTCCAGTGTCACGTTGCTGGCTGCTCCTAAGGAATCCAAGACAAGCAAAGTAGGCACCAGGTTGCTGGTGCACTAATCTAAAGATCTGACAGGGTCCAGAGCAAGCCAGTAAACTGTCAGAATGTCTGTGTCTATATATTTTGGATGTAGGCCGAATGTCTGAGGAATCGTCCTCAGGCTGATTGGAGGATAATCCATCATGGAGGATAATTACATCATTGCATAAATGCCAAGCTATATCATTACATAACTGCCCAAACCACTGAAAACCATGGCCTAGCCACGGGGGCACACACTGTCACACTACTACATTCAGCATAGACCACCATTTACCTGGATAGCTGCACAGACTCCTGCTGCTACAAGTGCTGCAATGAAATCAGCTCCTGTTCTCACTCTCAGCAGCCTCTCTCCTGTCCCACCTGGTAATTCCCCACCTTCTCTTCCTGCCCAGACCTGCCTTATGCCACTAAATCCCAAGTGATGACAGCATCCTTTCATAAAACTGGTGTGGAGACATCTGCTCTAATCCCTCCAAAGCATTTGCTTTTTTTATTTATACCTCGTTTTTCATCCCTGTCTCAGAGCCCTTCCCTCTTTTTCACTAAGCTGAAGCATAGGGGTGCCCTTCAAATGTTCTGAGTTTCTAGGGAGAAGTCATCGTGCACTGATGGCCCCTCTGAGACAGGGAGACCAGACAGCACTTCCCCACAACTACGGAAAAATCTCTTCTGTGACAGCGACCATGGGAAGCTCCCATCTCTGGTCACCACTGAGCTTCTAGAACCCAAGGAAGCGGTTTCTTGGATAAGATCTAATCATAGGGCTGTGAGAATGGGTAGCCCAGGGAATTTTATGTTTTGTGCTGTTGGTTTAGTTTTAAACTCAGACTAGTTAAAAGTTTCCTAGGTCACAATTTAGAATTAACATGCTAGCCCTGTCCCACACGGCGTTTTCACATTGTGTGCTGAATTTATAACCTAGGCCAAAAATATTTTACTGATTTGTATTTGCAATTTAATATGCATGGGAACAAACACACACACTAAAGTGGAAACTAAAATAACCTTATAGCAGCTACTTGCAATTTAATATACAGCCAAACAACAAAAGCAACAGCATCAAAATAGTTCCAGGGAGGAAGGGATGGGGAGAAAACCCTTATGACGGTATTTTACCTTTGTTTAGGTAATATACTAATTTGTCTCACTTTTAATAGCTATTTACTTTGAAATTGTCACAGTTCAAGGGTCCTGGTTGCAGAGTATTACAGAACCATTTGAAAGGCCTGTTAAATGTTAAGATTAACCTTTTAT